GTGCCAGTGCTTATAATAAGCATGCTGTATACATGATCTTTAAATTACACGTTAACACTAAGAAATGGGTGTGTCACCATTCTATCAATCATCCAGTCACCAAGGCTTATAAGTTTAGATTCTCTCTGTCACCCACTCTTTCATTTGGTAGGCAATATGGAGCCTGAGAATATTTCTGAAGAAGGTATAACAGGATAGGGGTTGTGCTTTAGTGAAATTAAACAGCAACATCCTCAAAGATCTAAAATAGGAATCCAAAGAGGGTTGTATTCAGAAAGGTAGCCATGCGATTTGGAAATGATTTGGTTGAATACGACCCCATACATAGTTATTACAATATTATCAACAATTACATGTTTCCTGTGCTATAATTTACATCTCCATGACTATTTTGTAACTATCAATTTATGCTTCTGAATTCCTTCATCTTTTTCACCCATCCCTTCCAAACCCCCTCTTCCAGTAACCCTCAAAATATTCTCTTTATCTATTACTCTGTTTCTATTATGCTTATTTTGTTTTGTAGGTTCCACAAACAAGTGAAATCATATAGCATTTGTCTTCTTCTGACTTATTTCACTCAACACAGTACCCTCTAGGTCCATCCATGTAGTTACAGATGGTAAGATTCCATTCCATTCCATTGTATATATGCTCTACTTCTGTATCCGTTCTTCTATTGATGCAACTTATGTTGCTTCCATATCCTGGCTATTAAATAATGCTGCAATAAATATATGGATGTAGATGTCTTTTCAATTTAGTGTTTTGGGGTTTTATTTTGGATAAATAGGAATTGCTGGGTCCTTCTTTGTCTCTTATTAGATAGCCTTTGTTTTAAAGTCTATTTTGTCTAAGTATTGCTACCCCAGCGTTTTGTTTCCATTTTCATGAAATATCTTCTTCTATCCCTGTACTTTTAGCCTGTGTGTGTCTTTGGATCTGAAGTGAGTCTCTTATACACAGCATATGTAAAGGTCTTATTCTGTCATCCATCCAGTCTCCATATGTCTTTTGGCGCATTTAATCCATTTGCATTGAAAGTAATTGATATGTGAGTCATCCTCCTGACTGGTCTTGGTATTTCTGTCTCAGTGCTGCTGATGGCTAGATGTCTTCAGGAAATGCTAAAATTGGGCACCCTGGCCCCAACTTTAGAGCCACAGCTGTTATGCCAGATGGTCAGTTCAAAGATATCAGCCTATCTGACTACAGAGGAAAATACGTATTCTTCTTCTACCCTCTTTGCCTTTGAGTGCCCCATGGAGATCATTTCTTTCATTGATAGAGCAGCAGAATTTAAGAAACACAACTGCCAAGTGATTGGTGCTTCTGTGGATTCTCACTTCTGTTACCCGGCATGGGTCAACACACCCAAGAAATGAGGAGGATGGGGACCCATGAACAGGCCCTTGGTGTCAGGCCCCAAGTTCACCACTGCTCAGGACTGTGGGATCTCAAAGGCCGATGAAGGCATCTCATTCAGGGAACTCTTTATCACTGTATCCTTCACCAGATCACCGTAAACATCCCTCCCTGTTGGCCGCTCTGTAAACGAGACTCTGAGACTAGTTCAGGCTTTTCAGTTCACTGGCAACATCGGGAAGTGTGCCCTGCTGGCTGGAAGCCTGCCAGTGATGCCATGAAACCTGACGTCCAAAAGAGCAAAGAATATGACTCTAAGTAGAGGGAAGTACTGGGCTGTTTTAGGGTCATGTAGCAGTGGATGGTCATGTGAACAAAACCTCTTTTGACTACTGCCAAGCTTAAAACACAAGGTCTTCAACTTAACCCAGATGTAGTATGAGACAGGACAGGCCTTTCCTGCAGGGTTGCGGGGTGGGAGGGAGGAGGAGCCAATTTTCTTCCTTTGGAGGAAACAGCCTGAACTTATGAAGCAGGCGGAAGATGTAACTAGAAAGCTATTGGGTCCAAGTTGTGAAAGCCCTTAACTGACAGACTAAAGAGTCTGGATTATAGTCTGGAAAATTACATTGCTTCTATACTTTTTTCCTCTCCTTTTGGGACTCCAATTACATATACATTATAGTTTGCACCTAATCTCAAATCTCCAATGCTCTTTGTTTATATGTGTTTTGTCTATCTTCACTTTAACCTCTAACATTTTCTTCTTTTACTAGGTTTGGACTTAGTTTGTTCTTCTTTTTCTAGTTCTGTAAGGTGTAAAATTAGTTATTAATTATAGATTTTTTTAAATGTATACATCAACAGCTATAAATTTCCTTAGTGAGTGCCACTTTCATTGCATTCTGTAAGTTCTGTAAAATTGTGTGTTGTTTTTTTTTTTGTTTTGTTTTGTTTTTTCATTTATCTCTAAGTAATTTCCAATTTCTCTTGTGATTTCTTCTTTGACCCTTGGTTGCCTGAGAATGTGTTTTTAAATTTCTACCTATTTGTAAATTTTTTTTGTTTCTTTTTGTTATTTTTTATGTGTGTGTGTGTGTGAATCCAAACACAAACACTTGGATTTTTAAATACATTAGTCTCTTAAGTAGAAAACAAAAAGTGGAGCTACAAACCAAAATTACAATACTACTTTTATAACTGTCCATGTACTTACTTTAATAGATATATTTTCATAAGGCTTTAAGTTTACCTAGGAATGTCTTCATTTCTCTGTCATTGTTGAAGGACAGTTTTGTGAGATATAAGATTCTTGGTTGACAACATTTTTCCTTCATTGCTTTGAATATAGCAATTCACTACCCTCTGGTGTCCAAGGTTTCTGATGCTTCTGCTCCTGATCTTACTGGCAAAAATATAATGAAAGTTGTCCTCTCTGCTTTATAAATGTTAATATTGTACCTTCCCATGTCTTATAAAACAGATATTTTCTTAGAGTATTGTGATATCAGTCAAGTTGTAGCATCGTTTTTAAACCAATCAGAATTTAAGGAAAAGGAATTGAATGTTTTTAATGGTAGACACAATCATGACTCTCAATGACAAAAATTATTTATAGATTTTTAAATTATAAATGAAAAGGTCACTGATGCATCCTACAGATTTTAATTTATAATAAAGCAAATGACAATCTTTAGTATCGCACATAAACAAAAAGGTCTTTCTGGTCTTTTAATTTTTTTAGAGTAAAGATATCTTCAGAATAAAAAGTGAGGAAACCACTATGTTTATTACCAGCTATGAAAGGCTGGTTTCTTGCTCTGGCCTTATAAAGCAGCATTGTAATAAAATTACAAAAAAACTCCTATAGCAGGTGCTGGCTGGGCTAAAGTTTTTGTCCTTGTAACCCATAAGCAGATTGTGGTGACCTATCAGACTTGTACTTGTTAGCTTATTATCACTCCCGTGCCCCCTCCTCCAGCCCCAGCCACCTGTCCATTTTATTTTTCTCTTTTATGTACTCTTTTTTCTCCATTAGTTATACTTTTTCTTTTCTCTCTATTTCCGTTTTTCTTTATTCTCTTTGTCTTCTTTCAGTTGTTTTTTCTCCTTTTAATTTTCTCAAATTTTTTGTTTCCTACTTTTTTTCATTTGTCCTTGTTTTTCTCATTTTTATTTTTTTTTTAGTATTTTTAGTTAGCTTTGTGAGTACAGTTGGTATATTTAGTATTGTCAGTAGAGTTAACATACTTAGTTGACATAATTATTGTTTATTTTCATAGGTAGTGAGTATATTTAGCATTGTTAATGTTAGTATTAGCATAGTTTTGTTCTTTAGCATAGTTACTAATAGTAGTTAGCAGAATTTTTTAGTCTTATCCATTAGTATAGTTAGCAAGTCACCATATAGATGACCTTGCAGCCATCTCTGCTGACCAGGAGCCCAAAGTGGGCATTATAAGTTCCTCAACACCATTGCAGAGAGCAGCCAAGGGGAGGTTGGACTGACACGTTCTGGACGGTACAGAAATGGCTGTCAAGTCATCAATCAGCAGGGCTCCTCCAGCCTCCAGAGGCTTCCCCTGCAGGACTTCCAGGCATGAAGGCATTCAATCACCAGAATAGAGTCAAGTTATTCAAGGTGACTGGGAGCAGCAGAAAACTCTTCATCATCATGGAGCACCTAAGTGGAGGGAACATACCCGATCCCCTGGAGGACCACTACCACATGCCCAAGAATGAGGCCCGAGGCATTATCCGCCAGCTGGTATCACCTGTGCAGCACAGCCACCAAAGAGGCATGGTCCACAGAGACCTGAACCAAAGAACATGCTCGTTGATGCTCATAGGGACGCAAAAGTGTAGACTTTGGACTCAGCAATTTTGGAGCAATAAGGTGAGGACATTCTGTGGTATCCTCTCATATGCTGCCCCAGAACACTTCTTGGGCCAAAAATATGATGGCCCCGTGGTAGATATATGGAGCCTAGGAGTGGTTCTCCATACAATGGTCCCTGGGAACCTGCCGTTCATAGAAAAGAACTTTGGGAAGCTGCAGCAAAAGATTGTGAGCAGAAAATAACTACCTCGTGCCATTGTTCCCATTTTTTGAATTGGAAACGACATTTTTAAAATTGTTGATTCTCATCCAAGGGATAGAAGAAGTTTATGGTAGACCCATGGCTCAGAGACCAGGTCCATCATCTTCAGCCCAGCCCTCCAGTGTGACCCTGGAGGTTCCTGTCCACCCACAGCCCTAACAGCAGCAGCAGCAGCAGCTGAGGATCCCCAGAGGGAACCAGCAAGGGTCTGCAGGTGCTAAGCAGGTTCTTGAACTTTATGTTAAAAAGTTCTGATTCAGGTCATCCACAAAAAAGCATGGTGATGAAAAAATGGACAGTCCATGTACATGGTGGAAAGCCAAGGAAGGGACACAACCGAAGAGTCCAGGGAGGTCAAGCTATGCATCCTCCACTTTAAATGAAGAGTTAAACTATGATGAGCTCCAGGGAGCCCGGTCACGTGGTGCAGGGAGAAAGGACAAAGCCTGAGCCGAGATCGCTACCAGAAGAGGAAGAACCTAATGTGCGCGCTGTGTGTGCCAGGACCCCCGGGAGAACAGCACAAACTGCCACAATGTTCTTCACACAAATTCACATCAGAAGGGCACCGGGCAGCTCTGTGGCCTTCAAAACTCAAGACCAAAAATACCTGCTGAGCTTGGAGGATGGATGAAGACACCTCAGGTACAACAGGAGAGGCCCCCTCACTGCAGGCCCACCACTCAGCCAGCCTGTTCCCCTGGGGTCCTTTTCACCTCTCCTGTTCCTCTTTCCTTCCATGTTTGTGGGAGGGGATGATTCTCATTAAAGTACTTGGTTCTTCTAAGTCTTGTAATAAACTTGGTGCTTCAGAAAGATACATTGGATGCTCTTGTTTGGCCTGCTCCCGGCACAGAATCGGGGCTGTGCATCCTCCAGTTTGAGAAGCATGTAGTGATGTAGCCCTTGGACTGAATCAGAACAACTAGATAGAAGAAAAAAAGAGAGAGAGAGAGAGAATTATCACAGTGACTCCCAACAGCAATGAATGTGCTTCTGAAGGTCAAGGCTGTGAGCCGTACTGCAGGGGAGAAAGGCAGACCTGTGTTACCTTCCTGCACTCACATTGCCAACATTTACGGAGCCCGAGGGGAATTGTGGTCCTGCGGCCTGTGCTAATTATGACCGAGAGGTCCACGCTAGGACAACAAAGTGCAGCTTTGTTTCCTATCTATAATGTAGTTGTATCTTTCACCCTTTCCCTCTCAGGAAGGTGCCAGGATGTGAGGGTTTGACCATAGGAAATGGAGGTGTGAGGGCAGGAGGAAGCTCAGGTTCAGCAAACCTCTTGGTCAGTCGGGGCGCCCCCTTCTGAAGTCAGTAAGTGGCACGGTGGATTGGGAAATACAGGCTCTGCTCAAATCCCACCCCCACAACTCACCCATCAGCCCCTTACCTATTTCCTGCCTCTGTTTCCTCCTCTGTAAATTGGGATACGGTCCTCCTCACCCTCACCCTCACCCTCACCCTAACACTCAGAGATGTGAGTGTCCTGTATAAATTACAACCCTAAGTGCTGGGTTGTTTTCAGCACCCTGGGCAGGGAGTGTAGGCCTCAGGCTGGTCCAGGTCAGGTGGAAATGGTGAGCTGCAGGCAACACAGGTGGGATATCATGGCTGTAAAGGACCTGGGCTAAGTGTCCTGCATTCTAATATCCAGAAACAGGTAGCTGTTGAACTTGCTGAATAGCAAGGTAAGTAATTAAGGTCATTCATTAATATCATGTATAACCTCTCTTGTCAGTTATAATCACCTGAACAGAAACCTTCAGAGTTTATTAATAACTTTGCCCACCACAGAATAACCCTGCTCGGGTCCTAGAATATAGGTAACCTTGCACACTTGTGGTATTTCCACCAGCTTCTGCATTTACTCTCTTGCTCCGTGTCTCTCAGTAGCTCCTCACTGTCTTAGGCCTGCCCTGCTCCAAGTATGAAATGTAATATGAGAACTAAAGCACCTCTCCCCACCGGGGCGATGTTCCTGCGGTAATGAACCACCAGCAATCCCAAGCACCGGGGTGTCCCCCACACCTCTGTACCTTTGCATATTCTGCTCCTCTTGTTCTTCTGTTCCCTTGGCCTTGAATCCTCAGCTACCGTGTCCATTTCTACTTTATGGTGGGATGATGGTTGCTCACACAACACATTGCCTTCTTCCTAAGGATGTTCAATTGGAAGGAATTGGTGTTGGTCTAAGGCAGTTACAGCCACTGCATAAACCCCTACTAATGCTTGGGTCGGTTTTGGCCAATGACATATTAATGGACAACTATGGGGCCTCCTGGGAGAATTTTTCCTTTCTTAAAAGAATGAGATGGGAAGGAAACAGGGTACACCCTTGCTTCTGGCTTCGGTGCTAACTATGGAGATGTAACGGCTGGAGTGGAGACAGCCATAGCACAACCATGTGGGAGTGACACCAACATTTGGTAATGGAGTACACAGGTGCATGGCATCTGAGTCACTGACAACACTGACACAGTGCCACCTCTGGACCTGCCATCTTTCACATTGTCTATCAACATTAAGTGTTAGAACCTTTGTAGTTTAAGCCAACCTTAATTGAGTTTTTTGTTACTTCTGTCAAAAAAATATTTAACCAGTAAAGACTTCGGGTTTCAGTTAAAATTCTCTTTTCTTAAAAGTCCTCCAACATACCTGTGTATCTGCTCAATTTCCCCACCCTTCAACCATGAAAACAGCTCCTAAGCCTAGAGTGTCCTGTCTCTCTGGCATGTCCTTTCTGATCTGTGAGCATCCCTGTGGCGGGCCTCTGACTTTTCATCTCTGTCCACATTGAACCTGCACACAGTGGGCCTTTAGAAGAGTTTAAGGACATCAATACCTGCACTACTCCTTGCCCAGAAGCCCAGAGCCATAAAGGAGCCTAGGAAATGAAATCATTGACCCAAGCAAGGCCTACAGACCTTGTGAGCTTCTGCAGCCTCTTCAGCTTGAGTGGCAGGTCCCAACTCTCAGATCAGCCTCATGCCTGCATTTAAGTGCTGAGCTATTGATTTATGGTGAGCTCAGCCTCCTATTATAGCCACAGGAAGCCTTGTGCAGAGAAAGGAGAGCATGAGCTACGGGGGAAGAGAGTCATGGAAAGGACTTAATAGATACATCCCTTTCACACTGGGTGAGGTTCTCTGCATGTCCTGGAAAAGACCTTGATGTGCAAGTGGGGAGTAGGGTTCCCCAAAACCCAAAGGAAGATGTTCCTTGGTATAGTGGGTAGGCGAAGGCTCTTGGCCTCACCCGTGGCAATTCCAGATGCCAGACTGAAAATGGGGGAATGCTTGTGTGGTCACAAAAGCATGAATGACTCTAATTTCCAAGCAAAACTAGAGAAAAGGATGGTAGGCACAGGGAAGCTGGGAGGGTGTGGTGTTATCAGTGAAGGAAGGTCCTACTTCCTTCCTTCCCTCCCTTCCTCCCTTCCTTTCCTTCCTTTCCTTCCTT